AATATTAGATGTTGCTAGAATTGAAAGGTGCGAATATAAAATATTAGATGTTGCTAAAATTGAAAAGTGAAGATTGAAAATACATTAAATGAAAATACATTAAAATTGGAAATACATGACAATTGAAAATACATTAAATTAAAATACATAAAAATTGAAACTACGGTAAATAGCATAATAACTTAGTAGGGAGCTATGTCGTTTCCAGATACACCAAAATTATTATAGTATTGACTGAATGGGGCTGAGGATTGTTGTGGCTGTGACTGTGGATATTCTTGACTTCTTTTATATATTATTCGTTGTTGTTCTTGTCGCATAAATCACGGACNAATGAATTTGATCGTTATGTAATATGTATTTAGTTAATCTTGTATAGCAATGATTTCACTTTTATTTGAATTATTAGTTAATCTATAATAATTGCTTATAAATTATATTATTTAAAATTTTATGGAATTGTTTTAATGAAAATTGCAAATTAATAAAAATAAAAGATGGAATTTGTTTAATGGAAATTAAAAAATAAAATTGAAATGAAAGATAGTAATATAATATAGAAGAGATAGAAGAATATAAAAAAATTTGGAAAAAAAAATGGGGGAATGGTTGGAGTAAGTTGTCCCCAAAATAGAGAAATCCCCATTTTAGGGACCAAAAATGGGGTAAAGGTTGGAGATGCCCTTAGACTCGATAATAATGTAATAATTCTGGTCAGATGTAGCTAGACTCAACTAGGATCATCAGCTTGACACCCAAGCCTATGTTCATCCACGCAAAAAGGAAGAAATTTTAAGAAGAGTATGCCTTTGTCCCAAAAATAGTAAAACTAAAAAAGAATAGTAGTTGATGATTTACGTCATAAAACTCTAGATAGGATGCTAATGTATGAAGAAGAAATTGCAGAGCTGGAGTGCCCACCTGGCAATCTGACACGAGTAGTCCGTCCAAAGCTGACTAGGAGCCCACATATGCATCCAAAAACGTGGTCGCCGCTCATGACGTTTTACCTATTTATTTAAAGGAAAAATTGCACTGCTGGACTTTCCATTCTTCTGCTTACGTACATCCCTTCCAAGACAAATGAATTGGAATTGCTGAATTCTTTATCCAACTACTACACCGTCCGTTACTCTTGTACTCTGCAATAACGGCCTATTAAATTACCAATGAGATCCTTTCTTATGGCTACATTAACCTTTGTGTAATATGAAGACCCGATTTAACTAAATTACATTCACGATATGCAAAATATTTTGCACCGTAAGAATAAATTAAATTCAACAAATTGTCTAGTTTATTTTTGAGTTTACTAACTTCTCATATTAAATGTAATTACCTATAAGCATCTCTTAGGTGATTCAGTTAAAAAATTCTTTTACAATTTTAATGTATATATTTATGGGAAAAACTTTTGAAACTTGTGATTTAAGAGAAATCGCAGAATTTAAGGCTATAAACTATCTTATAAAAATAAAATTAAAAATTTAATTGTTATTAAATATATAAAAAAATATTTTTTAACATATTAAAAAGAAAATATATCTGTATACGGGTAAAACCAAGCCGGTTGGACTTCTCGATTTCTCGGTAAGACAAATGGAGCAGGAACATGATCGCAAGGAATCGGAGTCTGGTCGAGGAGCCTCTCGGGGTTCGGGCGAGACTCCTGCCCTCGGAGGCATCAGAACAACATCCTCCGGGTCTGGTTCGGTCCTCGAGACTTTGGAGAACATTATCAAACTGCTGCACACGATTAATAAAGGGCCGTGATATCCGTGCCCAACTGGATATCCCGGCGTGAATCTCGGACCGTATCTGCACAAAATCAGTGATTAGTGAAACAGAAGATTTTTACCTTTTTTAGAATTGTACTTAGGGTAAAATTACCCTACTACATAAGGGGAAAAACATATTATTCATAAAACATATTGTAACACACATATCAAGGCAATATACTCTTATTCTCTCTGTTATTCAAAGTTCTTACTTTTGTTCATTAGCTCTTCATCAGTGTGAGCTCGGAACCAAAGGCAGGCACTTCGTTAAGTCGTTATTGAGTCCGGGATCACTCTCATTATTGGTTTGACAATTTATCACGTCTTTTATCTGCTTTAGCTAACGCCATTAATCATTTTGTCGAATTAATCCACATATCTTTTAAACCACGTTTAAATTCAATTGTTATCCGTTTTTTAGGGTAAACAATATCATATAAATTTATAGGGACTAGTAGTTAAACGCATGTGAGGAGTTTAAACGTGTGACGACCCGGCCGGTCGTCTTAAGAATTAACGCCCCGATCCCCTATTAACTGCTTTTCCCAAGTTTATTTCTGCCATTTTGATTTGCCGGGACGTTCGATTTTGAGTTTCAAAGAGTTCTGGGACACTTAGTCCCTAAATGAGAGCTTAAGTGTTGGAAAATGATCCATAGTCAGAACAGTGTGAAGACGGCCTCGGAACGGAAATCCGATGGTTCCGTTAGCCTCGTTAGGTGATTTCGGGGCTGGGAGCGTGTTCGGAACGTGTTTTGGAGGTTCGTAGCTAATTTAGGCTTGAAATGCCAAAAGTTCGGTTTTTGAAGGTTCCGCAGATGCGGTTGGATTTCCGCATAAGCGGCTCCGCATCTGCGAGATAAGGACCGCAGGTGCGGAATTTTGGATTTTTAAGGAAACCGCAGAAGCGGCTCAAGTTCCGCAGAAGCGGGACCGCAGGTGCGGTCCCTTGACCTCAGAAGCGGAAACCACTGGACTGAAATATGAAATTCGAGGGTTTAGTTTCAAAAGTTAGAAAAATCAATTGGAGCTCGGGAGAGGGCGATTTTGAGAAGGATTTGAAGAGGAGATCATTGGGTAACGTTTCTTTAATCCTTTCTAGTTATATTCCATCAATCTATAGTTAATTTTATCATTTAAATTCGGATTGGGGATCAAAAATTGGGAAAAATTGGAAGAAACTTCTTAGACCGAATTATTGAGTTTTGAGTGGGTGTTTGACTTCCGATTTGAGAGATTTTTATATGCTTAGACTCGTGAGACTACGAGGGTTCTGAAAATGTAGAAATTATCCAGTTCCGAGATGTTGGCCTGAGGGGTGTTTTGGTCATTTTACCTAAATTCGCGTCTTAGCTTTAAATTTAATAGTAGAATCAGTTGCTTGAGATGTTATTTACGATATGTAATTGAATTGAATAGATTTGGGCCATTTGGAGTTGGATACTCGTGGCAAAGGTGTGGTTTCGAGTTGATTTTGGAGCCGGCTTGAGGTAAGTGGCTTGTCTAACCTTGTGTGGGGGACCTTTCCCCTTAGGATATGATATTTGATAATTGAATGTCTTGTACGTGAGGTGACGAGCGCGTACCTGAGCAAATTGTTGAAAATCCGGTTTTACTTAAGATATTGAGACTGAGTTCCTTTCGTGTTTGCTTTATTTTACTTGCAATTATAACCTGTGTTATATTAGAAAAGCATGTTTAGTTGATTTAAATTGCCTATTTGCTTAGGTTGCCTTGGCTGTACTACGTGAAGCATGTTAGGCTAGTACTACCTGTTGCTTGTATTTTTTTACTTCATTTCTGAATATCTTCTGGTTGTGGTTGCGCATTTACATTGGGACTACGGATGTGGGATTCCGGTAGCTCCCCTCCCCCTTGTTTGTTTACTTTGGGACTACGGGTTAGATTCCCGGTAGATCCCCCTGCATTTTTACTTTGGGACTACGGGTTAGATTCCCGATAGATCCCCCGCACATTGATAGTTGGACTACGGGACGGAATCCCGGGTGATCCTTCGGATATACTCATATGATGGACTACGAGACGGTATCCCGGGAGCTCCTCGGACAGTTGATGAAATGGACTACGGGACGGTATCCTGGGAGATCCTCGTTGTTGGTACTGATATTGAGCTGTCTTACTCTGTGTTACCTTATTCTCTGCGTGTTATTATTGCTTCGTATAACTTGCCTTACTTCATAGTTTTATTCATTATTTCTGTTTACTTCATACTGTTGCAAGGCTTATTATTATATTTTATCTCAGTAGGGCCCTGACTTTCCTCGTCACTACCCGATCGAGGTTAGGCTTGGCACTTACTGAGTACCGCTGTGGTGTACTCATGCCCCTTCTGCGCATGTTTTTTTGTGCAGATCCAGGTACTTCATCCCAGGCGTATCACTCTCGAGGCGGATAGATCTAGCTGAGACTTCGAGGTACTTCTGCCGCGTCCGCAGACCATGAGTCTCTATCTTATTCCAGCTGTAGTAGATAGTCTTTTCCTTCTTTCAGTTGTTTAGACATTCTGGAGTTAGAGCAGTGTATTACTCTTCTATTAGCCTGTGTTTCCCGCGAGTTTCCGGGTTTTGGGATGACATTGTAGACTCCCGCATTATTTGGGTTGTATATGTCGAGCGGCATTTATTTACAGTTACCCTACTAGTTTGTTTAGTAATTATTTGTTTCCGCAATTTATGTTATTCCCGCATTGTTAGGCTGACCTAGTCGTAGGGACTAGGTGCCATCACGACATGTTCACGGAGAAACTGGGGTCGTGACAAAACGTAACCACAACTGACCCGCTGGAGTTAAGAAATAATTCCCGGTAGGTCCTGTGTTAATGTCAGCCACGAAAACAAACCTTATGAGAGTTATTAATCATACTTACGTAAGATAATTTAGTCCACCTAGTACAAAATCTAATTCTTGGTTAATATATACTCTCAGAGTCCACGTAGGACGAATAATAGGTGTGCAGGTGGATGAGAAGTTTTCTTCAATTAAAAATGAATTAATAGCATCAAACAATTATTGAATCTCCCCCTTCCGTGCCATGCTTGGGTCACTCGAGATGCTCTCTCTCTTTCCAAGTAGCTTAATCTTTCCATGAAAGGTTACCTTCTCTTTTTTTTTTTTTCTTTTTTTTTTTTCCTGACGTATACAGCAAATTGAATTGATGTGCCTCCATATAAATAGTGAAGACCGGATCATACGGAGTTATAGAAGTAGTTGACATAAACACACAAAAACACAGAAAAAGAGAGAGATGGGTTTGAGGGTTGCGAATGCCATAGGAGAAATGTTGCCATGCACAGCCATGGTCATAATAGAAGCTGTCACTATTTTCTTGACTATTATGGCCAGCACTACCATGTCCAAGTTTGGGATGAGTTCTTTTATATTCGTGGTTTATACAAATGCTCTTAGCTTTATCCTTCTCATTCCGTATTCCATCTTTTTCCACAGAAGAGACAAGTACGTATAAATTTTCACGAAATCCATTTTTTTTTTTTTTAGATTTTCAATGGTGACTTAGAAGACCAGTGTTAATCTTTCTCTTTCTCAATAATTGCAGGACAGAAGAGCCATTATTCACGTTTCCCCTTCTTTTGCGTGTCTTCTTCCTTGGTTTAGTAGGGTTAGTACTTTCTTTCTCTTTCTCTCTGTCAAATTAGAACGCTTAGAATTAAGAAATAACGAACATTAATTAGTTATGGTCTAAAATGAACACTAATTGGTCCAAAACCTCCAATTATTTTCTGTATTCATGCATTTTGGACTTTGGAGTTTCTTAACCACCAACTTAATTAATCATATGAGATATTGATGTAGTATATAACATCACTATGAAATTAACGGTACTGTGGTTGCAGGGTAACAATAGCGCAGAACCTTGCATTCGCGGGACTAAGTTATAGCTCTCCAATCGTAGCATGTGGAGCCGCAAACATGATACCAGCTTTCTCTTTCATTCTTTCCATTATCCTCAGGTTCTTTTTTCTCAACCTTTTTATTATCTTATGACCTCTTAGACTTGAGCCTCTTGAAGACAAAATTAAGTAAATAAGTTGTGTGTTCTCTGATCTCTCTAACAGTTTAAACTTTTAGATGGGATGGTCATACAATTCAACCAGGAATCAAAGCAAACAAAGATCCTACCTTTGAGTTCTCTTGGCCACCTATATAGAAAAGAATTTTCACGTAGATGGCCATGAAAAAAGTTAGGCCCATACGTAAGGGGACGTGTTGAAAACAAAATTAAATAAATGAAAATGTACGCTCTCAACCATTTCAATTTCTTACAACTAGAAGGGGGGAAATACCAGGAGCTGTGGTGGAGTCACATTGAAGCAAGGGGTTTCATATGATATCCCTAGCTCAGAAATTTTAATTATAATACATGTATATTACAAGGAAAAAATAAAAAAAAATGTATGATAAATACAAGGATTAAATCCTCTTGATTTGAAGCATAAGCTTGATAGAGTTTATTTATAAAAGTTGAATCACCTTGACGAAATCTTTGACTCCGCCACTAATCAGGAGTAGTATTAAAAAGGAAGTGATTTCTTACAGTTAGATGATTTTGCGTACGTGTGTGTATATCTCAGGAGTCCCTTTTTTGCGTAAGTTTGACAGTTTTGGAACTAAGTATGATTATCAGTATTCTAAAGAAGCATATAACTGTTTAATTTTAGGAAAATAAGGATTGACTGGAAGAGCCAAGGAAGTCAAACAAGAGTAGTTGGAACCTTAATATCAATAGTGGGAATATTATCAATGACTTTCTACAAAGGTCCACTGGTCAACAAGTATTCTCCATCTTTCCTTCAGCTAGCAAGACCGCAGCTCCTCGTCTTCACTTCAACACATGAGAATTGGGTTCTTGGTTGTTTCTTGTTTGCAGCTGCTTCATTTGCTCTTACCATATGGAACACTATTCAGGTTTCCTTTATTAATCTTTTATGTTCCTTTTCTTTTCGGGTTTAAGTTCTATTAACTAGTCGTTTAAAGAATATGTACACAGTCAGATCATTTATAAGATAATTGCAAACGAATCTCTATAACAAACAACAACTAATAACCTAGTAAAAGTGATAGTAATAACTAACTTGATATAACATGAAACTACGGTCTATATAACTTAAATCTTTTTCTTTCCTCTTCGTTTTCTCTCTCAAACGGAACGTACATTGAATGAAATTGTGTTTTTTTCAGGCGGGAAGTAGCAAGAAGCACCCACATGTGATGAAAATAACGTGTCTTTACACCTTGTTTGGGACGATCCAATCTGCAGTATTTGCTTTACTTATGGAAAAAGATCTCAGTGCTTGGAGACTTAAGCTTAACTTTGAACTTCTTGTCATTGTTCTAACTGTAAGCTCACAAAAGCAATCAGACTTTTAATTAAAATGAACGTACTGTTCTTTATTCATTACCTAATGTCAACGTGATGCTTTGTTGTACATGATATATAGGCAATATTTGGAAGTTTAATACGCAGCAGTATTCAGATGTGGTGCATGCGATTGAAAGGGCCTTCTTATGCCCTATTTTTTAAGCCTGTGGGAGTTCCAGTTGCCAGCACTTGCGGTTGTGTGCTCTTTGCTGCTACTTTTCACTATGGAAGGCAAGTTTTCTCCTTTCTTTTTATACTCCTTTGAAAAGAAAACAATATTATAAAAACTTATGAGATTTTGAATATGCAATGATATTTGCGTGAGTACAAAATCATGACATCTCAAAGGTGAAATGTGTAGTTTAAATATTTTCATATATAAATAATACAGTAGTATTTTAAAAAATTTCTAAAAAGGAAATAATATCATACACTCCGTAAATCAAAGTATTGTTTTTCTCTTCTCTAATCGTGGGTGAAACATAGTTGAAAAAGAAAAGAGACAAGGTAACAGAAAGACGTACGCTAAAATAGACCAAGAAAAAGGAGTAGAAACGACAAATTAGAAAAACATTTTCATTTTGTTATTTTCAAAAAGATTTAAATTATCTCCACTAAAATCGTAATTCTTATATACCTGTGATAGCTAGGAATATCTAGTTTCCAGTGAGTGTACAGTTACTAATTGTAAACAGGTTGCTGGGACGATTAATAATATTTTTTTCTTCACCAAAAAAAAAAAAAAAAAAAGAAACAATTTCTAATAATTTACTTATAATTATCTTATAAATGACCTGATAATTATAAATACCTTTTCACACACTTACATGATCTTAACGCCCATGAGTTTGTACAGCATGTTGAGCGCTTGTATATGTGGATTTGGTTATTATACTACACTATGGGGACAGCTCAAAAAAGACGAGACAAAAAAAGACATTAAAGGCAACGTGTCAACTTCTGATAAAAAAGTCCCTCTTCTGCGAGAACAAGAAGAAGAAGAAGAAGATTCACAGGTCTAAGAGTATAGCAAAAAAGATCAAACGAATTGTAAATATGTATTGGAGGGTGTGTTTTTGGGAACCCTCTATCGCAAGTTAAGTTGAAGTTTTAATTAGAAGCGTTGGGTTTCAGAATAATGTAACGTTTGTCATTAATATAAGAGCGAGTGTTCTTTTAATATACAAGGACAGTTGGATTGTGATTGACTAATAATGGAGTGAAGACATTCTCCACAATCTAATGAATGTCTATACACACAGAGAGCAAATTGGCAGCGCAATAAGAAAGATCGAATTACCTCGTGCCATTTTTGTTGAGATAACACGCTTGTGTATAGGCTCTTCTGTACTCTAATAACTTTTCTTAGATGGTGTATTTCGTTCAAGTTGTGAGTGCAGGGAACCTTTACAAAAGCTTCAATTTATAGTAGGCAAATATGTTAAATCTTTCCATCAAAGACATAACTGAAGCATAATGAGCATTTAATGAATTGGAAAGTAAAGTCATTTCATAAACCACTGAAATAATTAACACATGTAACAGAAACGTTTCAAAGCAAATAAAATTTTCTGAAACAATATAGTAAATTGCTGACCTCTTCAATGAACAATTAATTTGCATTCTCCCACTTGGTCTGCATATACATATCCAAAATTATTCGATCTTATAGAAAAGAAAGAAACATATGGATCATAGCGATAGTTCCTCTAAGAGAGAGTACTATCTTCCATGTATCATAATGTATCATGCCTCTAAATCTTTGCTCATATTTTTCAACAAATAAATCCAATATTTATTCTAGGTCCATACTTTAGCGATATTTCTCAAAATAACTAAATGTATACACAATAAAAATATGAGAAATTTCATACAATAATAACGTTTCATCAATATTCGTTGCTACAACGATAATTTATATAGTGAAACCAAGTCGTATTCTAACAATATGATCCTTAAATTTTTGCGGTGGCATGCCTTTAGTTAAAGGATCAGCTAACATTAATTAAGTGATAATGTGCTCAATGACCACTTTTTGTCTTTAACACGTTCTCTTATGGCTAGATACTTAATGTCGATATACTTGCTTCGACTCCCACTTTTGTTATTCTTAGCCGTAAAGACAGCATCTTAAGTATCACAATATATCCTTAATGGCCTAGAGATCGAATCGGTGATTCTAAGCCCAGAAATGAAACTCTTCAACCATACACCATGCGAGGTAGCCTCAAAACAAGAAACGAACTCAGCCTGCATAGTGAAAGTAGCATTTAATGTCTTCTTGGCACTCCTCCAAGATATAGCTCCACCGGCTAACATTAAAATGTATCCTGATATTGATTTGCGTGAATAAATACATCCAGCAAAGTCTGAATCAGAGTAGCCAATTACCTCCAAATTATATGATTGTTTGTACATAAGCATGTAGTCTTTTGTCCCTCGAAGGTATCATTAGACTTTGTTTGCACCTCTCTAGTGGTCAAGACCTGGGTTACTCTGATATCTCTCCAACATTCCAACAACAAATGCAATATCAGGCCTAGTACAAACCTGAGCATACAAAGCTTCCAATAAGTCTCTTCTCTATGTTGCCCAATGAGTCTCTTTTAGTTTTGAAGACCCGTTTATATCCAATGACTTTTAGACCATCAGGCAACTCAAAAGATCCCATACCTCGTTACTCTTCGTGGAGTTCATCTCTTCTTTCATGGCATTGTACCATGATGACGTCAAATCCACTACTAAGAAGTAAGCGAACACGGTCGCATAAAATATAATATACCCAACTATGAGTTGGTATCGAATCTTACAAAGAAAAATATGTAAGGGATTAGGCAATGTAAGAGAATTATCGCTTATTATACTAAGCCAAACACTAATAAAGATGTTTTAAGAAAATATTTATGTGTAAGTGCGAAAATATAAACTAACCTAGAAAGCGAGTAAAATGATCAATGGCTACAAGCATGGATACACGGGGAATTACACTCAAGTAATGATCCAATGTATTTTACAATTTTACAAATATGAGCGAGTTTACGTTAATTAGCCTCGGATAATAATTCTTTATTAGCTTCTTCCACAGACTAACAAGACTCGCTAATTGAATTATCCGTAAAATAATTAAGAGAATTAAGTGCACCCGATATGGCTAATAGTAGTTCAATCTTATCCCTAGGTAGAATCTATAAAATGAGGGTTAACGCCTCAAGTTCTTGTTAATTAATCTTTTCCAACCTCAAATTACCTTTTTCAAGATTAATTCAAAGTTAATGGGCGAGTCCTAGGGTTGGATAATCCCTTTGAAAATATTAAAGAACAAGAATAATTAAAAAATAATAACTCACTTCAATATTTCATGATAATCATTCAATACATAAGCACAGCAAGATATATAATACAAACTTTAAATATGAATATTTTCCTAAACCAAATTTAAGTGTTGGAATAAATACACTACACTTAGATATTCAATACAAAGCAAAAAAAATAAAGAAAAGAGTAAAAATGGGTAAGCAAATCTCAACCAAAAACTTCAAATCTTCAAGTCCCAAGTGTGTGTACAACAACCCTAGCTCCAAGCTTGTATTTTCTACTCAAAGATATCTCTTAGGCAGCCAAAGATCTGTTTCTAACAAGCTAGGTCGTGTATTATTGGTTTGGGATCAAGAATGTGAAATGCCAAGTATGTCAAGAGGTAAAGGCCGTTGGCCGCACCTGCGGAAAAATCATCGCAGGTGCGGCTCCGTAAAAGTGGACATTTACTCGCAGATGTGAATCTTGTGGAGAACTTCCTGATCCGTAGATGCGTACATGTCACCATAGAAGCGGCTCCGCAGATGCGAGCTTCTTGCACAGAAGCGGCTTCGCAGATGCGGATGGTCAACCATAGATGCGATCCCAGTGCGGTCGAGGGTTGAGTGAGGGCGAGTGGTTGCGTTGAGTGGAAGATTGGCAATTCCGCAGATGCGGCTCTCTACTCGCATAAGCGAACTGTGTTCCTTAGATACGAGATCACTAAAGGAATTTTCACTACTTTAACTCTCTTTTTCTTAATTCCACTTTATTTAATTTCAATTCTCTCCAAGACTCATTGTATCTGAAAATCTAGCAATGCACACTATAAATCACCTCATTTTATAATTAAAGAACACAAACACTAAAGAAAAGAGACTAAAATAAATGGTAAAATCACCATTTATCATACCACAATTCTGATTGTTTACAATTTATATCTTGTGAAAAAGACTCGGGATCATTTTCGGCTCCAAAGTCAGATTCTTGTAAATACACAATATAGTCACTAGAAATTGCTTATTTCCTTTATCTAGTATATCATCTTAATGTTGTATCAATACTTTTCTCAGGATTATGTTGTTGAACTGGTTGTTCAATGATTTCATGAATTTCTCGAACAGCTTGATCTACTGAAATATTTTCAGCAGCTTGTGGAACCTCAATGACTAGTTGCTCAACACCTAGTTGTACTTCAGGAGTGTTAAGCAGAATAACCAGTCTTTCACTTGAAGTGGAAAGTTGAGTGGTTATAGAGACTATGCTCTCAAATTTATCATTCCCACTAATCAAGTCACTCTCAAGAAATTTTGCATTTCTTGATTCCACAATTCTAGTGCTATGAGATGGACAATAAAATTTGTATTCTTTAAACCTTTCGGCATATTCGATGAAATACCCACTAATGATCCTCGGATCCAGTTTCTTTTATTGTGGGTTGTATACTCTAACTTCATAAGGGCATCCCCATATGCGTATATGTCGCAAACTCGATTTCAACCTTTAAATTAACTCAAAAGGTGTCTTTTGGACAACCTTTTTTGGAACTCGTTCAATATATACATTTCTGTTTTAAGACCTTCAATCCACAAGGACTTAGGTAGCTTAGAGCTACTCAGCATACTTCGCGCCGTGTCTATTAAAGTTCAGTTTCTTCTTTCTGCTATACCATTTTGGTCTGGAGAACCAAACATAATATATTGGGGAACAATCCTATTTTCTTGAAGAAACTTGGCAAATGGACCTTGTTCTTGTCCATCCTCAATGTATCTACCATAATACTCACCACCTCTATCAGATCTCACAATCTTAATTTGCTCTCTGCATTATTTCTCTACTTTAGCCTTGAAAACCTCAAAGGCGTCTAATGCTTCGCTCTTATTATAAAGCATGTAGAGATAAATGTACTGTGCGTAATCATCTATAAAGGTGATAAAGTATTTCTAACCATATGCATCCATGTCTGGACAACATATATCGGTATGTATGATTTCTAATATAGTTGAACTCCTCTTGATACTTTTCTTTGACTTGTTGGTCTGTTTGCCTTTAATGCAGTCCACACAAATATCAAAATCAGTAAAATCTAGAGTACCAAGTAAACTATCATTTACTAATCTCTTAATTCTATCGATGTATATATGCACTAATCTCCGGTGCCATTAAATAGAGGAATCTTCATTCATAACACATCGTTTAGTACCAGCTTGAACGTGCATAACATTATTCGTGGTACCAATTTGTAAATTAATAGAGAATAGACCGTCAAACAATGTGCCATTTCCAATAATTCTAGATTTATAAAATAGATTGAAATAATTTTCTGCAAAGTTAAAGAAATAACCAAAAGGTACAAGTCTTGAAACTGAAATTAAATTCCTAGAAAAATTAGGAATATAAAATATCTTTTCTAACTTTAAAATGAAACCATTACTGAACACTAAATCGCGGGTCCCAATGGCTTTGCGATTGCATCCTGTTTCCTGAATAGATGCTTTGCTCAGCTCCCAATGGCTTCCGCAAGTTTCGTAATCCCTACAATGAATTCGTAGTATGTATTGTAAAACCAGATTCAATCCACCATGTGTTATAATTAACATAAATCATATTAGCTTCATAAGTCACAAGAGAGATTGAATTACCTTTCTTCTCAAGCCATTTCTGAAACTTGACGCAATCATTCATCCTGTATCCCTTCTTTCTACAGAAGAAACACATGGATTCATTCTTGATGTCAGTTTCAAGGGGATCCTTTCCTTTCCCCTTCTTCTTAGCTTGATGTGTCCTCTTTCCTTGAGTAGCCATAAATGCACTTTCTCCTATTTCCATCAGCAATCGGCCCTCCTCCTGAACACACATGGTCAGAAATTCATTAATAGATCATTTAGCCTTATATGTGTTATAAGAGATATTAAAGG